AAAGGTTGGAACACCTTGGCAAAAGGTGTCAACCCCTTGGCAAAAGGGTGGAGCACTTTGACAAACAAAATACAAAGATCAGTTTCACTTGCATATCTTGAAGAGATTGCATGAAAAAGGACATAAATCATTGATTGTTTAATTGATTTTGTTATTGATAAAATCAATAGAAAAGCAAAAAATATATTGATTTTCAATGTTTTTTCTATTGAAAATGTAGTCTTCCAAATCAATTAAAATAATTGATTTGGAAGACTACAAAATCAATTATTTTGAGCTTATTGATTAGAATCAATAACCGATGCTCAGGGCTAAACTCCTGGTGTGGTTGCCACATGGTTGGAACTATGACATTGACGGTCCTCAAGCACAATTGCTCGTACTCTATTCCAGTATTCGCTCTATGCACCAAAAAGCAGGCAGATATTTTCCGTTCAGTGGTCAAGCATAGGTTCTACTCCAATCAGGACCTGATCCCCCAAATATGCAAACAACGGTGCCCAAAGCCAGCAATAGCCTCATCATGACGAGCGAGGGCTTCATGCGGCATCGCTCAGGAATCGAATGTCATCCAATGTCGACCAAAAGCAGATTGGTTGGCAACATATGTTTTGTGATTTCAGGAGTCACATGTCGGGGTGCCGAACTTGGAGGTAGTCGGGGTGTCCCTGTCACATCCACTCGGATGGAACCAAACACCACCCCGAGCTCTGTGACCCCTGGAACGGTGGATCCACCGTGCCACAACGATCCTCCGGTTGAGAAAAGACGCCTTCAGCACTTCGTTGGGTCAACTGTCAACTCCACGAACAGATGTCCCGACTTCACTCTGGAACAGAAGCAAACTTGCTGTTGGATGCTTTGAACAGAAGTTCCGTCCGGACCATGTCCTTTTAGCCACTCCTTTTCCCGTGCTGAAGATCGAATCGACTGCTTGGAACGGGAGGTTTGGTGGTATGAAACGAGAAGTCATGCATACTGTACGACTTAGTTGCAGTGGCAGCTGGGATGCACGTGCACAAACCCCTTATACCCACCTTAGTTGACCAAACACAATGCCCAATAAGTGAACTGCATGTGGCATTGTCCAGGGAATCTCGGATGGGATGTGTCGGTGCTTATGAGATGACCGAATTCATAAGCTGCATAAGATGAGGCTATTGCACTGCAAATGCTCTTGCACACTCACCTGGCATCACAAAAAAACATCTCGTTCGACCGTCCCGTCTAACGATTGCGTCGGGTCGAACGGTTGGTGATTGCTTTGTTCCTGAGGATCCTCGCCCATGTTTCTCAAAACCTTAACCTTTCCGGGTGTACAATTTTAGTATATTTTAATCAATACAATCTCTCATATATATATATAAAGAGCTCTATGTTCAATCCAAATGGGTAGGTTTTATGCATTAAGAGTATACCTTAGGCCAGTCCTTGGTGGCTCCATGTCACGATTCGCGGCTCCATCCACTGCCATCAGGTCGCGAAGAAGAACCGTGAGTTGGAGACCGCCATCCGCAGGCGCCAGTCGAAGACCGCAAAACAAATCGAAACTGGAATGGGTGTGAATTTCAATTAGGACCCCCCTGGCCCAAACGAGTTTCGGTCTATTTTTCCGAACTGTCCAGGGAAATTTGTGTGAGGTCTCCCTATATTTCATACACCCAAAATCGCCCGAATCGAGCAAACACGTTAGTCTTGACGGCAGGAAGCAAGCAAGCTGGTATATACGAGGCGAGCTTCAGAGGTTTGAGCCTTGACGGAATTTTTCTGGTACAGACATCAAATGATATGTGCATCTACAAGGACTAAAGACCTGTCGTTGGAGGCTCCTGGTAACAGTACCTGTTCATCAAAGCATATGCAATCCACAGCAGAGTCGATGTAACCTACCTCGCCCTGCTGTGGCTGCTCCGAAACGTGATCTCCAGTTGTTACATCGGTGATTCCACTGCTGTGGGGAGAGGAATATGCCTCACTGTTCAGTTATTTCAGAACTTTTCTTGTGTTTGAGTGAGGTGGTCGCTGATTAGGATTTGAAGAGCTGGACGTGCCTAGAACCCCGAACAGGGTTTCTTGCACTAGTTGGTGCAGGCATTTGCTATGGATAGCTCGTACACTTGGTCACCATGTCAAGATAAAGTCCAAGTTTTTGCTAGTTTGCACAATTCGGAAACGGGTTCAAGACGAGAATCAAGACTCAGCTATAGCCAGGTGTTGTTGAGAAGCAAGAGGACTCAAGCAATACGGCTTGGTGATGCTCAACACACAGATGAGTGCTGGTCTCGCGAGGCTCTCAAGGAGCGGTGAAGTGAATGAAGAGCTGGAGATCATAAAGGTGCCAAGATAGAGCTGGGGTGGGTGAGTGTAGTGTAGTTCAAATGGTGTTTGGTTGGGGGAAGACTTTGATTGCCAAGACTCAGACTATTATTTACATAAATAGGTAGTTGAAGTCGGAGTTTCAGAGGTGTATGTTAATAGCACGTGTATGGAATTGTGGCATGTACAGACGTCGCAAGTGAGAACCTGCTTGTTGGTGAGTGTATCTGAGTGTAATTTTGCGACGTGCAATGATTGCGAGATCTGGGGGGGGGTGGAATCCGTTGTAGGGGGTACGATGACGTACCTGGAGCCTGAAAAAAGAGGTTTGTTTGTAATATAAATCAGAGCTCCAACTACCTCCGTTTCGAAGCTGGTTGGTGTGCGTGCCGGTGACAGGAGCCCAAACAGGATGGAAACGTACTACTTTCTTTGAAACGAACACTTTGTGTGCCTGATCTGACTGAAAACGATTGAACACTCCGTGGCTGCAGAGCTCTGTTCGTCCGCGCCCGTGCTCACCGCCATGGAGTCGTTGTGTATCCGCGTGAGCCTTCCAAGTGGCCAGGCTGCCATGCTGTCCGTGCACAGGAGCTCCAGTATTCGGGAGTTGAATCTGGGCCCATCGCGATCATCACAAGTTGAGTTGACCCATCATCTTTAGGATGTTCCAAGATGTTCTGGAACATGTGGAGCAAAAATGGATTAAACATGGGAGCTTCATGAGGCTAGAAGCTGCTTGCAAGCCCTGCATTTTTTCTCACGAGATCTTCCAAGACCTTCACAAAGATCTGCTAACACCCAGCCTGAAACAATATATATTTCTCAAGGTGTTCAATCCAATGTTGCATATATTGACTTCAACATCTACAATTTGAAACGTGTTATCACCCTCACAAAGTGAAGGACATCTCTTACGCCACATGCACATTCAACTAAGGAAAGTTGCAGCTCAGAAAGTGTTGCTACATGCACGTGGTTCAAAAAGCTTTCTTAGATCCTTGGATATCAATAATTATAGCGGTTGATAATTTAAAGTCGCGTGTTTGGCTTGCTTTCAGTTGAGCGTCAGGCTATGTTCCGCCCGAAGTTCAGACACCGTTCAATCACCTCCCTCAATTAGTCCTCGTTTTGTACATTTGTCTCAGTTGCAGATCCTCAGGTTTGGGGTTATGTTGATCGAACGAAAACTCCAATTGAACCGCAAAACCGTTGGTCGTCTCCCTGTGTCGAAGAAGATTGGCAAGCTGGTGTACCAGGAGAGATTGGAAGAACTCATAGCCTGAGGATACCTTTGGGTAAAAGTTGCCCCATGTGAAATGGTAAGCTTTCTGGGCCTTACCCTTTGCACCCCCTCGGGAGATTTATGTGGAAGGTGTGATCGTTCACTTGTCATGTACATGTGCCCTAAAGTCAGCTTGAATAAGTTACACTCCTGTTGCTGTCGCTTTCGTATAATTTTCAATACGTTGTGCACAGGTGGACAAACCAAACCATGCAACACCCTGACATACCATGGTAGAAAGCTACGGGAGGTCTTGAGGCACATAGGCTACAGCTTCGGAAGGCAACACAACAAGTCGTTGTGAAGTCAGCGCACCCTAAAATATACCACTCGCAGACACTCCATGGGACTGCCATAGGACTGCCGAGAAACGGCCAGGGGTGGTGCCAGGGGGGTCTGGCTTGATCGGCAGTCCGTCCTGGCAGTCCGGGTCGTGTCACTGGTTTGTAGAGAACACAGTCTTTAACTTCTCTACAAATCACTGATCACTAAAAACTACAAATCACTTGTAGAGATTTTGTCACCAGTTTTAACTGGTTTGTAGAGAACACAGTCTTTAACTTCTAGTGATCACTCGTGACTTTATGATACTTCCTTCGTCCCTCAGGCCCCAATTTCAGAACTGAGAGTCACGGCTTTTCGTCCAGACCCGATCTTTCACATCGTCGATGGGTTCTTCTTTCCTTTGCTATGGCCCGTAGATAACCTACAGGGCTCCAACCCTGAGAAGGTGATTGGGCTAGGTTTTGGGGGTTTTTCTACCTTCCGAGGATCTGGGCCAGGAGCCCTGTCCTTCTTCCAAAAGCTCGTCCACTGGTGAAACACCTCCGCCCGTCTCATGGGGCGGTCGGTCTTTCCGGTCCGACCGGTGTCCCTCCGGCTCTGCGTTGGCTCGGTCTTCAGGCCTGGTCTCTTCCGATGGGCTTCTTTTGGATCCCAAGGAATCCATCGAGACCTCCGGGCTGCACGATGGCGAACGCTCGGACCGAGGGTAGGGGCGGGCGGGAGGCGGGGCGGGACGGGCGGTGCGGGGCGGTGCGGGGCGGGCGTTTGGTGGTTTTGAGGGCGGCAGCCGTTGGATGTGGAGGACCAAGATGGATGGGATGGATGGGATGTGGTTTGTTTTCTGTTTTTTTTCTGATGAAAGGGAGACACCACAGTCATCACAGATTGGTCTGAACAACTGCTTAGAGATGAGATGGGTTGATCAAAAGGCGATATGATGAGTTCTCCACACTAATACCAACTCCTCTTTTTATTGGTTATCTCAACTTCACAGCCATCTGACGGGCTGAGCGCTAAGGACGAGCTGAGTGCAGTGGTCCATGGCTTTGATCTGGTGGCTACCTCCAAGGCCTTCGCTGGGTACCGCATGCTCTCTGGCCGCTTGGGCCCGGGCAACTGATTCATTGGAGATCACTGGGATGGTTTGCATATGGTTGCATATATGGTGAAGAAGGATGGGTCTTCGGTCTGAGTCTTCGTAAGCTAAACGCGGTCTTTGTTGCGTCTAAGCCCAAGCATGACACTCTTTTGGACCTCATCCTGAATCATGTGGTCATGGGCGAACCGGCCTTAAATCCCGACAGCCGGCTATTCAGTTAGAGAAGTTGGGCACATAGTTGATAGAAAGTTCCTCCTGGACTGCCACGCTACAATCGGAGGGTCCTTCTTTTTGCATTGACTTTCGGGAAGCTACAGGTAACCTTGGGCATGTCAAAGGTCGTTGAAGCACATCTCAAAAGAGCCCATGCTGGAGGGTTCATCCAGTTGTGATCCCCAGAAAGGCCTTGCGGATGCTGCACTGCTCACAGGGTTGGACATGCTGAACCGGACACAGGGACACCGAGGCCCTGTGGTGGTTTGGGGAGATGCGAACCATGGTGGAGACTCGCGATGGGTTCAACATCCAGCGGAGAACATCCTGCAGGTTTATGCCACAGGCGCGGTCCTGGGCGGGATCCGGCCTCTCCCTGTGGTGGGTGCGATCGGAGGAAGGTCGGTGTGGAGTGAGTTGGTGAGCAGCGACTCGGCAGGCTTGATTGTAAAAGAAGGTCTGGCATGGAGACTTTGGGGTGGTTTCCAAGTCGGATAGGAGGTTGATTCTATATATCATGAACATGTTCGGGCAGGAGTATATCCAGCCTAACAGTTTGCACCTGGACGCTTTCAGTCCTCACTTCAACGGCGTTTACACCTTCAGCTCGATCTACTTTTAGTAGTCCCTGCAGATTAAAGCCATCATTTGTGCCTGGAGAATGAGGTGACTTAGAAACCATTATATAGAGTTTTCAGGAGCGACAGGCTGAGAAAACTCAGTGCAAATCGTCCGTTTCGAGTGGCTTCCTCTCTTCCACCAGTGACTTCGCTTGGGTTCACCAGTCACCTCACCTGAACCACATCGGATTGGAAGAAGGCACCTGTCAACTACCAGAGCTGGAACGGATAGCTTCTATTCTTTAGTCTTGGTCATTGATTGAGGTGCATTATTGGGGGAAGACCTCCTCAAGACCTGGAAAAGGGAGACATAGCAGACATAGACGAACTCCTGCACTTGCTTGAGGAAGAACAACAACTATACGAGAGTTGGGACTGTACGGACAGTTGTTTAAAAGGGTTTTTGCAGATGCGTTAGGAATTAACTATAGTCAAACATTGAGGAAACATCAGGAAACACACTGAGAAGGGATTTTAGGGATAACACATGTAAGTCATGCCCTGACAGGGGGTGTCTGCTGGCAAATGAGTTAGGGACAAAAGTGGTTTTGAAGAAGGTTTAAAAAAGAAACAAACAAACTGTGCAGTTTATTGAAGATGACCAATTTCCATATCCTAGTTCCCATGTCTTCAATATTTAGAATTTAAACCACAATATGCCTGCGGCAAGAGTCCACATCCTACCTCTTGAGTCCCCTGTCGCCTATTCCATGGCAACTGTACCTGAAAGCTGACAGCTCCAGCATTCCAGGACTTTGTGGCCATTACTAGTTCATGCGCACATGAGTTGCGACTAAAGTGCTAGCTTTTGCCCAGGTATGCAAGTTGATGTTGAAACGGTTAAGACTTAGCAGATGAGTTGTGCTCGACCAAAGGGCCAGGGCCAGGGATGGCCAGGGTATGTTCCACAACTCCCAACCCACTGGGGACTAGTACATTTCACAACGCAGCCAACACGTTTCTTCTTTTGGTGGACCTATGTCAAATATGCGGCGTCAGCAACATTCAAAGCAAAACACACACACACACACCTCGGTGCCCCAGCGGATCCCTTTGCCCCAGACTACGCCTTTGCTGCAGTGCTCACGGATGGACGTGTCACCGCCTGGGGAGGGCGAGAAGCTGGCGGCAACTGTGGTGAAGTGGAAAAGCAGCTCAGGAGACATGGATCCAAACGGACTTGCATTCCTTCGATGTTGCATGATTTGGCGGATTTGGTCTATGGATCTGATTTGTGAGCTTTATAGTTTGGATTTGTTGGCCTGGAAACACGGATCCTAAGAATCTCTTAGGGGCCTGGGGTAGATGGATACGAAGGATCACGATCGGATGCGTAGGCTATCCAGATCCGGACCAGGTCCTCAACACACGAGTACCAGAAGTCAAATGGGGGGAACGAAGGCTAATTATGTGGGAGGAATGATCGTGACCACTTCATGGATTTTACGAAGGATCAATTTCCACGTGCACTGGATTCTGGATGCAGTGCTTGACTGGGAGAACGAGTTACGTTTTGT